GGAGTGGGGGCGGGGGGCGGGCTGTCCCCAGGCAGCTAACTCCACCCCGGAGGGAGATACAGTCATACAGGAGCAGGGAGGGGGGAATAGCAAAAAGGAAAAACAGGATCAAACTGAAGCAAAAATGTTAGAATGGGGCAAAACTTACAAGATAATTGCAAAAGTACAGAGTACAGGAAAATCTCAAAAGCACAGAGGGGGAGTGGCATAGATTGAGTTTGGAAATTAGCAGGACAGTAAGCACCTGAAAGGCTCCGAATGCCAAGCTAAGGAGCTTGGCCTTTGTCCTGAAAGCAAAGGCAGCCCAAAAAGGTTCTGGAGAGAGAAAGAGTTTGGCTTGATGATTATTTTGATGGATTGGAGACAGGGCCGGTCAGGGAAGAGGCTTGGGTAGTTGAGCATTAATGGGACCCTGAACAAGGCAGAAATGGAAAGAAAGAGACAGAAGAGTCATCACAACGAGAACTGATAGAATATAACCAAAATGGAATGTTAGGGGGAGTGGTGGTGTGTGAAGAAAAAGAAGTCAAATGGATGGCCTGTCACGAGCAGAGGCAGGTAACAGGAGGACGAAGAGGGCAGCTGCCAAATCCCATTTTACCTGTGCTCTCCTTTCTCTGGCACCCATAGCCTCTTTTTTTAAAAAAATTTCTTTATTGATTAAGGCAGGGGTCCTCAAACTTTTTAAACAGGGGGCCAATTCATTGTCCCTCAGACCGTTGGAGGGCCCGACCCTCACCCCCCTGTTGTCTGTGTCCTTTGGTTAGGCCTATATGCTTGCATATAAGTCCTTTGGTTGATCTCTCCCCCTTACCCCCACCCTCTCCTACCTTCCCTCTGAGGTTTGATGGTCTGACTGATGCTTCTCTGTCTCTGGATCTGTTTTTGTCTGTCAGTTTTATGTTGTTCATTATATTCCATAAATGAGTGGTGAGATCATGTGATATCACCCATAGCCTCTTAAGATCGGGCCTCATCCTGCCTTGGTGGATCAGCGATTCACAAATCCAGAGGGTTTGTTAGAAATCCCAAAATCAACCAAATCCAAATCTCTTAGGTATAGGTGTGGAATGTATATTTTCACCAAGTTTCACAAGTAATTCTTAAGCATCCAGACCAGCTCTGGTTCAAGTACCTACGTAATCTGGAACCAATGGCCTGCACAACTGGAGTAGCATACTAGCAAGTCTTTCTGCATCCAGTCTTGTCTCCTCCAAACACTCTTCTGAGGCAGAATGACTTTTTAAAAATATAGATTGGATTATATTCCACTGACCAAAAACCTTCAATGGTTCCCCACTGTCTACAGACTAGCTTAAATTGGTTGATGCCCATCACAATGTGACCCTAAACTTCCTTTCAAGTTCCCACTTTTCTCCCTTAAGCAATCCTATATTCTAGCCAAAATTAACTGCTTCCTGTTCCTCCTGATCTCTCCTCCACTTTCCCCCTCCTAACACTCCCCCTCCCTGTAATTCACAGCCATATATATATTTTGGCTCTGCCTGGCTCCTACACAGCTATTTCCTACTTGATGTCACCCACAGGTTCAAATCCCACGCAATTTCCCCAGGCAGAGCTTAAAACAGGGGTCAGAGAACTACAGCTCACCTGTTTTTGTAAATAAAGTTTTATTGAACACAGTTATGCCCATTCCTTTCCATATTGTTTATGGTAGTTTTTGTGCTGCCATGGCAAAGCTGAGTAGTTGTGACATGGTCTATATGACCTGCAAAGCCAAAAATATTTACAGTCTAGCCCCTTAACAAAAAAGTCTGCTGACCCCTGGGCCTAAAGCAACAACCACTTAAATTGTTCTAGCCTCACACTTTGGGATTCAGTTCTGGTAATGGGGATCCTGCTTATTCTCAAATCAACCCACATCCCTATGTGCTCTAGTTCTGATAACGGAGTCACATTTGAGCTGGACCTTTAGTTTGGGGTAGGGTGTTACTAATCAGGAAAGAGCATTTCAGGAAGCAGGAACATCATAAACAGAGAATTCGGATGTCAAAATGTGAGGACTCTTGAGGAAAGACTGATAAAGCTAGGTCATAAAGAGGAATGACAGGAGATGAGGGTCTAAAATTAGTTTGGGGTCAGACTGGAAGAGTCTGGAAGGACATGCTAAGTTTCTGTTCTCAACTGCAAGCAATTGGGATTCTTTAAATAGCCAGAAATGCAGGCCCAGAATAAAAGAGAGTGATCACCAGGGTTGAAGCTAGAGGAGCTGGAAGAATCACCCACAGAGGCAACAGGTAAAATGAGATCAGGCCAGTGGATCCGGGGACTGTGCGGCAGAATCTGGGCTGAGACTGGACATGAAGGGTCCACAACTTTCAGAGCCCATGCTCCTGGGGACCACCCAACTGTGAAACAAGCTTTCTGTGCCAGATCAAGAACCCATGGTGGCATGCAGGAAGTACACGTAGGATGGATCTGAGCTCCTCTCATCTGGCAGTGGGCCTGGACAGAGAGACAGTGGGGGAACCAAGAGCAGCAGAGTTCTTACTGTGGGTCTGCAGTTCCTACTGGCCCTCCAGCCCAGGCAAGCCCTGGACTGGCAGGCAAGAGAGCTGCTTTTTTGTTGTAGTTGTTATTGTTGTTGTTGTTGTTTGGGTTCTATAAGTGATTGTGTGATATTAAGCAGGATTCTAGCCCTTTCTGGACTCCTGATGCCTCATTTATGCAGTGAGGGGTTAGAGGTAAGCTCCCAGGGTTTTTCTTGATTTCCATCCTCCACAGCATCCACTATGACTGATCCCCCTTGAATGAGAGCGTTCCAGCAAACAAGGGACTCCTCCAAATCCTGTCCTTCAATCACAGCGACCATGAGCTCCCTCCACCAGCAAATCTAGCTATAACCTTTCCCAAAAACACAGCCTGCCTCCTTCCTATTACCAGAGGAATTGCTCTCCCAGTAACAGGTATTGTTCTGAGGGGCACAGTGCCAGTCCCAGTACCCTAGAGAGCCAATTACGTGAGGAAACTGTTCTTGAACTAAAAAGCCAGCTTGCTGATAGGGTTCCAGAGCTCCAGCTTCTGGGACAGCTGCACACCCAGCTCAGCCCGCTCAGCAACCTGACCTCCACCGGGGAGGTCTGGGTCACTACCCACAACTGGCCCCACAACGGTTGGACACTATTCAGCACCTGGAACAAGCAAATAGCAGTCAGCCTGCCAAGCTCCTGTAACTGAGACCTCACCCCCAACCCCCACCTCCTCCCTCTCCCCAGGCCATTGGAGCCCCTCCAGCTGAGCTGCTCATTAAGAAAAGCCTCATTTCCCACTCTGACTCTGAGGTTGTAGCATCTTGCATCAGTTCCTTCTCTTTGGATCTTCCCAAAGCCCCAGTGCCTGCCCACTGAGGGAGACTGCTCCCCCTTTCAGCATTTGCAATTACAACAGACGTGCTGTCACCTGTCACTAGCTTCAGGAAGCTCAAGGCTATGGTGGTTATTTTATGTTCGTGTGTGTGTGTGTTTTGTTGATTTCAGAGAAGTAGGGAGAGAGAGATAGAAACATCAATGATGAGAAAGAATCATTGATCAGCTGCCTTATGCATGCCCCACAACCCAGGCATGTGCCCTGACCAGGAGTTGAACCGTGACCTCCTGATTCAGCCTTTCTGCACAGAGCCTGTAGCTCTGGTCATCCCACTGCATGGCTGAGCACACTACTGCCTTTGCTCTGGTCCCCATCACTAGCTTTGGAATACCTGGCCCAGCTGGTTTCCTCAGAGGCCTGAGACCTGATGCAGAGCCATTTCCTAGTATGATGGAGCTGCTGGGGAGAATCTCAGCTAGGCTATGTCTGCATTAATTAAAGATTTGCACCTGATGACTCAGGCTGCAGAGTTGGTTCTTTCCTCAAGGATTTTCCATGGAGTCTCCCATCAGTTCAGGGATTCCAGTAAGCACGGAATCTCCCCAAGCAAAGTGCTACAGTGTAGATCACAAGCTTTGCGGATAAGTGAACTTGAATTTGAGCTGATCTGATCTGATAATCTGCTACCTTCTCCCATATTTTACCTTTGAAAACCCCAGACTGGCAGAAATAGGATAAACCTTTTAGCAAGTCTGTGCTCCTCCTCTGCTGGATCAAGTGGCCGTGCTAAAAGTTCTTTCCAAAGAACCAGACTCCCAAAGCATGGCTTCCCAAATTATGGACCAGAAATCTAAGTTCAGGGATTGGGTATCTCACTAGTCTTACCTGAAATAGGTGACAGCTCTTCTTTTCATGGGACAGCTCATTTGGGTGCCATTCTTTTAGTCCTTCAGAAACATTCAGTAAGCGACTGATATCCACCAGTCCTGGTGCCTGACGAACCTTTCAGAGGCACTGTTCCCTTGCCTGGACTTGAAACAATCTTCTCTTCACATCCCTGCCACACTGATGATTATCATC